TACTTGTAATTGAGAACTTTCTCCACTGTTGTACTGACCCTTACTTTAGTGAAGCATCCGAGTTCTTCTTCCACCTCTGAAGACAAAGTTTCTCAATTGGATGATTCATTGTTGTTGGAAACCGAGCTGAACGGTGTCTGTATGTGGGTCTTTGACTGTCCTCAGTGTCTCTTTGTGTCTTAAACTGTTAAAGCCAGCACAATGTTGGTAGAAAAACTCCCTGAACTTGTGACAACTTCGCTCAGCAGTGACAGCGCTGCCTCTGATGTTTTTGATCTGTGTATTATTCGTCCGGCCCTCTGCCTCATGCTGCGACATTCAAACAGAGCTCCGTGTCATTAGCCTGGGAGATCTTTGGCTGCCACATAAAAGCCGGCTGATCAGCGGCAGCAGCACCCCGGGGGGGCCCGCTGCTCGCATCCCTGCGCCGGAGGACGTGCATAGGCCTGTGACCGCCGCCACGGCTTCTCTTGATTCCCCTGAACAGGAGGCCGTTTAGCAGCTGACTTACAAATGACATGGGCTGGTCTCGTTAGAAGTGAGGCGGAGAGGGGGCGGCTTAACAACAGCAGAGTCCCTGCGCCGCTCACACGACTCATTACTCAAACAGATAATACGGCCAGAGGCACAAAGGGTGACGGGGAGAAGTCACTAATGAGAAAAAGAGCAGATACTACACGGAAGAATCACGAGCCTCCTCACCAGCTTTCCTGCTCCTCGTCTTTCTCTGAGAGACGCTGCTGCAGGAGGAGGCTCACCTGAGCAGAGAACCTGGAGCTGTGAAGGGTCAATGACAGAAAAGTGTGGAAGCCTAATGCATTCACTTGACTTGTTTTTCTGAATTAATCAGGTTATTATCTCAGGATTCAGAGAAATGTTTTCATACAACTGGTTTCTGAATATACAAGATATTATCGCAGACATAATCTCATTAATTCAGGAAAACAAACAACGAAGAAGAAGATATGTCAACTCTGCTGTTCAGAGCAATTTACCAAACTGTGCTGTAAACGAACACTTGATCAGAAACACCTGTACACCTGCTTATGGCTTTAAAACAACAACACAACCCCCCCCCCTCCTGCAGATGACTCAAAGGTCAGAGTTCACCTTCGCTCTGGAAGGGTGTATTACACAACCAGACTTCAAACTGCTGCGTCCTTTTTCAGGGCTGAGCGTGGATCCACGTCATTGCATTACACCCCACTCCTCCGGTCCGGTAGTTACTTGCCAGTGTATCATTAACAAATAATCTGGATCTTATAAGGATCATAATGCAACAGCTGCAGCAGCCTCACACGAAATTAAATGAAAAATAAATCATCAGACTCTCCCTGAATTCTTGAATTCTCTATTCCAATAGTGTTTAAAATGAAGTGGAGATACAGCAGTACAACATGGAAGCATTTACATTAGAGCAAAAAAAACAAAACAAAGCCTGTCAAATATTTTATGTCAAGTAAAAAGTTTAAAGGTCTGTTCAGACTAAACACCAAACAAATACGTGAGACTGATGGTGTGACTGTGATTGATTTGTGAAGGATTGTTACAGGTTATACTGAATGTGGAGGAGCTTCAACACCTGACGTCTAAATGATCCATTTCTAATTCCCCTCACGATCAATAAAAACTCGTGTTTTCTCAAAAGGTCGACAGGTTTGCGACCGAAACAAACCTGGAAACATTTCAGTTTTCGTGTTTGTCTGTGCTCAGAAATCAGAGCAGAGACACACTGATGTGCAGCGCGAACATTTCCACAGCGGTGTGTAACACTACAGCTGTGCAGAGATTAAAGTCAACTCTTTGTCAAGCAAGAGCATCACAGTAAAATGTAATTGGTGCCTCACAGCAGGACGCCCTCTGCACACACTGCTGTGAAACATTAATACGAGACAAACATTACTTCTAAACTTGTTATTCACACACATTTCAAATAAGGACGACACATTTTCTCTGTGTAGTGTGTGTGAGCACAGGAAAAACAACATGCTGAAAACTTTAATTAAATATGCCATTTACAGAAAGGAAAAAAAAATGAGAATTGAGAATGGTCTCTAGATCAAAAGCTATATTTCAAATCCAGAACATCCGCTTTGGGCTGCTGCGTCGCCTTCTAATTTGTCAGGAATGAGGATTGAGCCGCTTTAGTTGGAAGTCTAAATCTGCCTCCCAGGGGGCAGTGGGGCAGACCACCAACGCTTTTTTTGGCCACCATGCTGCGTCAACGCAGCAAAACAAAAGCACAAAGCTGCAGCGGGGACGCTTTGTAGCTCTGCTTTAATGCGGCGGCCGGCTGCACCGCCGTGGCCTCGTCCTCCTGGAAGCCGCACCAACGCCGCAAAGTGCCGCTGTGCCGAGAGACACCGTCAGTCACACTGCCATCATTTTTTTCCACACGGTTGTCCATCATGGGAGGTTTGTCGTGGTCATCAGTGGCTCAGTGACACTGACTGGAGGAATTAACCCCAGCAAGTGTTTATCTTGAAGCACGCTCTCAGATCAGTAGCTGAGTGAAAAGCACATCGATTTCACGTTTTCTTTTGCAGATTTTGCAGAACTGCAGTGTGTTGTGATGGAAACAGCTGCAGGCAGGTGTGTTCAGTTTGGAGGAAGATCCAACATTCAAGACATGAGACATTTTTTAATACAAAAAGATGCCAAACTTGTTTTTGTTTTCTATTTAAATCTTCTGAAAAGATCTTTTCATCCACTCACTCTGAAATCTCACATCTCAGAGCTTCCAGAGAGTTTCTAAAAGTGATGTTAGTCTGCACAATTAGGAGTTAGTTTTGACAGACTATTCTAAAATAAATGGTAAATGGTTAAAAGGTCAGGTTATCAACAAGAGAGTTACCTGAGACTTCTGCTCTCTTTATCTTTGTATGAATCCAACAATCGCACCAGGTTGTGACGCACCACGAAATGTGAAGGAAATGTGCACAGGACCAAAAACTGAACGACTAGAAACGTTGGTCAAGTAAGTGAATCTTGAAAGCTCTTTATCTTTAAATCAGTCTCTATTATGGCGCTGAAACACACCTTGAATTACCTGAAGTTAACGTGACTTTTGACACGTTTCCCACACGTGCAGCGCGACGTGCAGAAAGCAGGTTGGAAACAGTCAGTCAGGAGGTCCAATTAAACTCCATTAAAAGGCTGTGACCACTCCCCTCTCCCCTCCTTTTGACCCCCCGGCCACACAGCAGCGGAGGACCCCCTTTCTTCATCGAGGTCATGGTTAATCCATAGGAGGGGTTCTTGCTTTGTCTTGTCGCAACCGGGGGGTCAGAGGCTCTGAAAGGCTGCAGCTCAGTTTAACATCAATTAGCAAAAAGCTGCCACCCCCACAGAGCCGCTCCTATTGGCTGCTGTGTGTGTGTGTGTGTGTGTGTGTGTGTGTGTGTGTGTGTGTGTGTGTGTGTGGAGGCTGAATGCTGAAGATGTTCTGCTCTTAAAGCTGGACCGACACTGTCCACTTACATTGATATACTGCACATTCTGAACAAACTTTATCGACTAGTAACAATGTGGTTTCTCAAACAACGTAAACGCTGAGCCCTGATTGATTTTGTTCACTGATACTTTAATGTGTTGCGATGAACCTGTGGGGGTGTGAAACAGCTCTTGGATTATACTCATCCTCTTACTACTTAGTGTTGTCCGACATAAAAGAACGTTACATGAGTTACGAGTTGCAGCTCTGTAATAAAGTTTTAATAATGTCTGAGTTTTTTGTGTGTCTGCAAAGTTACGTTGTCCATGTGGCTTCATCAATAGAGAGTTTAGCGCACTGACTTAAATATACTTCGTAAACTTGCCTCAGTTCACTTCACACGACTGTTGAATCATACTGCTGATACAGCGTCGAAGTATTATGACTGAAACTAGCCACAGCTAACGCTAGCTACTCGTCAAGCCTCTGACCACACATCTAATGCTAAAACCTTCTACAGTGAAGACGCAGGTAAATATCAAACATTTGCCACGGCACGTGTCATTTCCTGATTAAAATGTGACACTATTAGCTGGCTAGCTAGCATTCTCATTACCGTTTATGGTACCAAAGCCACATACAACATACTGAAGGCAGCTGATGACACTGTAGCGGTGCTTAGTGAAATAAACACGTGTGTAGACGTGTATAACTTAAAGTTGTAAGGTGCAGTGTTCACCTTTGGATCTACTGCAACAGCCATTTTGAAAATACCTTGGNCTTCGTAAACTTGCCTCAGTTCACTTCACACGACTGTTGAATCATACTGCTGATACAGCGTCGAAGTATTATGACTGAAACTAGCCACAGCTAACGCTAGCTACTCGTCAAGCCTCTGACCACACATCTAATGCTAAAACCTTCTACAGTGAAGACGCAGGTAAATATCAAACATTTGCCACGGCACGTGTCATTTCCTGATTAAAATGTGACACTATTAGCTGGCTAGCTAGCATTCTCATTACCGTTTATGGTACCAAAGCCACATACAACATACTGAAGGCAGCTGATGACACTGTAGCGGTGCTTAGTGAAATAAACACGTGTGTAGACGTGTATAACTTAAAGTTGTAAGGTGCAGTGTTCACCTTTGGATCTGCTGCAACAGCCATTTTGAAAATACGTTGGTGATCCCTCCTCTTCCAGCGGTTCACGCTCGACTATTTGTTAATTGGGCGACATTTAGCATCTAATGTCTTCAAAGTGCAGTTGGGCAAAACTGTGGCACAAGGTGAACGCAGCATTTTGATTGTATTTTCTACAGTTTTACGGTTTGTGTTCGACGTGTTGATACATGACGTCACGTTTGATGCTGCTGGTGAAGTCGTCAAATACGGTTTTGACAAATTGCATCCTGTAGTTTATATTTGAGGAGTTAATCGTTAGCTTGCTACATATTAGCTTGCTACATGTGAGCTTGCTACATGTTAGCGAGGCTACAGATGCTGTCTTGACAGTTTGTTCTTTTATTTGTATATACTCCTATAAAACAGTCATTTAAAAAAAAAAAATTGACCTTTTTTTATTATAAATCAGACGATACTGATTTAAGCTTCATGGTAACTATTTCTTGAGACTCTGTTCCAGTCAATGAAATCAGGGTGATTGGTCCGTCTGTGACCGTGGTCGAACCACGAGCTCAGGGAAACCCGTGTACAAGTCCATCTCTCTGGTGAACTGCAGGTCGACCGCCTCACCGACGACCACCTCGGCTGTGGTGAACACCTCCAGATCCCCCAGAGCGTGACCGCCGACCGTCCGGCCCTCGATGTCCGACAGGGAGATGTGGAGGTGGGCGTTCGGGTTGAGCGTGCCCACCAGGGAGACGATCTCAAACCGCCCGCTGAGGTGCAACACCTGAGGGAGCAATGATGCTGATGATGACGAGCTAATGTAATAATAATACAATGAGGGAATCTCACTTATGAATGTTTATAGAATAACTTTGAATTATTCATATTTTCTGTGACTTTCAGTGGCTTCTATAATAAAATTTTGAGGGATTATTTTAAAGATTTCAAGCATCTGTGTCATTTTTCTATTATTTTGAGTTTCTGGCAGATTTTTACTTTGTTTAAATTCACGAAATAAAAAGTCAGACTTATAGTTGCATTGAAAAAGGACACCGTGCATGTGAGGTAAGGCCAGTTTAAAGGTGCTGAACAAAAACAAACATGAACCTGGACTCTGAGCCAGGAACAATCATCTCTCTTTCATAACATCTCAGCACCTCATTGGTGTTTGTCACTGTGGCGTTGGCGAGCCGGAGCGTCGCCTTGGTGAGGCTGCCCACACAGGTGATGATGAATGGCGCTCTCAGCCGCCTCTCCTCCACGAACGCCTGCAGAGATCCCAACAGCTCCTGACCTGGACCGAACCGCACGGCGTGGACCTGCAGGGCCGATCCTCCTCCAGCTGAACTCTGGGAAAAAATATGATTTAGTTTGTTACTTTGTGCCGTCCCAGTGTGTGTGTGTGTGTGTGTGTGTGGTCCATTCAGATCTTTAACTGGATCACTGTGCTTAACCAAACAGGAAGCCTGACCTCTGACCTACTGGAGGGGGGGGGGGGGGGGGGGTGTCATGTGACCCAACATTAATGAAGCTCACACTGATCCACAGTTTGAAAAAGAGCTTTTAGAAAACAGGCAGAGAGGAGGAGCAAACATCACTTTACATGTATTAACTCCACACGTTAATGAGCCGACGCGTGAACTCTCCCTAATCTCCACGTCTCGGCATTTAAACGTCGTTTTTCATTCAGTTTTTATGATTTTCAACCAGTTCTTTGTTGGAAAATGCTTGAAATCTTTATGAACATTTTCCAAAAGAATTCATTATAAAAACAGAGACTTTCAGTTTGTGCTCTGACAGAGGCGACGGACAGCCAATCACAAACAGGTGGAAGATTTCTAGAGAAGTTTTAATAAATTAAAATGTAAGCTTTACAAATGTATGTAAAATGTAACATAGTTTATTACTGGACTCAGATTATCTCTCATACATCTACAGTCAGTTATTTATATGCAGTTATTTATTTTCTCTTGTAATATTTCAAGTTTGTTTCTTTTTTACACTGATGATCTTTCTTGTCATTGTTTTTATTGATGTGTACAGTTTGTCTTGCTCTGGTTGTGTGTTCTTGTTTGTGTGTGTGTGTGTGTTTTTGTCGACTCTGTCCCTTTAAATTGACAAATAAAGTTTCTTGAATTGAACTGAATATAAATATATTATATTAAACTTTTAAATATTAAACATTTAAACTGAAACTACAGTGAAACTACAACCCACAACAAAATGAACTTAAAAGTATTAAAAAAGTTTGTTATGAAAAATGTCACTATTCACTTTGTTATATTTAATCACAGTTACTGTACATTATTTAACTATTTTTACAGAAACATTTACCTGTAAGAATCACGTAATGCTGTCAAGTTAGCAATTTAGTAAAAATTATTTGTGTAAAAATATACATTATACTTTTAAGATCATATGTGTTTTACATGGAAAGTTCTTATATGATATAAAGTAGTGGAATAAAAATCTAATATTTCCTTCTAAAATTTAATGGGAAAAGTAGTAAAAAGTGTAAACACTTAAAGTCTGTCAGAACCGTACAGCACTTGAATAAATGTGACATTTCACTGCCGTTTAAAAATGAGAAATCTCCATTGTTATGGATGTGACAGAAGTCACATGGTGGGAAACTCTAAAACCTTTGGGACGATCGAGAGGCAGCAGCTTCGCTCTGCAGCTCGGGGTGAGAGAGTTAACCTCAGTGACACTGTATTTATATTAATGGTCTGCAGAGAGTGAAGCTGAACGAGGTCCAATCCATGTCTTTGTGACTCGTACTCAGCAGACATGGAAGCTTCAGTGAAGACTGTTTGTTGTCTCCTATTCTCTTCTCTGTTTGCTTGTGTCATTAACACTCTTCTTCTTCTTCTTCTTCTTCTTCTTCTTCTTCTTCTTCTTCTTCTTCTTCTTCTTCTTCTTCATGTCTTTACTGCAGCAGAGAGCTCTGTGTGAAAATAAAAAAAGTGTAAACTCACCATTCTGCAAGAGGCTCCTGAGGAACTAAACTCTGACCACAAACACACGCAGGATCATCAGAGTCTGAGTGGATCTGAGCATGCTCAGTAGAGCTCACACTGAAGACTTCCTGTAGATGTTTAGGACTCTTTATTCCTGGTCCTTTACTGCCACCTGGTGGAGAGTTTTGAGACCTGCAACCAGATGTACATTTGGGTTCTAAGTTCTGTGTCTGTACCATTAATATTAACAAAAACATTTACCAAGTTTTATTATAACTACACTTTAGATTTTATATATTACAGCAGCTTGTGAACATCTAGAGGATTTCTTCTTCTCTGTTTTCAGAGGTGGAGTCAGAATCTCTTTAAAAATGCATTTGTATACATTTCAGTCTGGCAAATAACATGATGATGAGGATGCACCTTTCACAATAATGGCAGTGAAACTAAATAATAATAATTTATATACAGTGCATTCAGAAAGTATTCAGACCCCTTCACCTTTTCACATTTTGTTATTTTATTATTAAGTTTAATGCTAAAATTGTTTAAATAGTTTTTTGTTTACTTCATCAGTCTTCACTCCGTACCCCATAATGACAAATTGAAAACAGATTTTTTATTTATTTTTTTTATTTTTATTTTTTTTTACAAATTCATTAAAATGTAAACCTGAAATGTCACATTGACATACAGTCAGTATTCTGACCTTTGAAGCAGCGATTGCAGCCTCAGGTCTTGGGTTTGATGTCACAACCTTTGCACATCTGGATTTGGGAATTTTCTGCTCTTCTTCTAACAAGTACAATTATTATGAGATATATAATATGTACACATTATATACAAAGACTTTTATTTACAAATACTCAGCTGGGTATGAATTTAAAGTAAGCGAAGCTTGTGCAGGAGAGACAGGAAGATAAATGTCTCATTTCAGTTGTTTCTTTCTTCATGTTTTTAAAAAGGTATTCCTGCAACTTACTATTTAATATAACACATTGATATACACATTGATAGGAAATAGACAGAGAGGGTCAAGCTCCTCCTCATGACAAGTGAAATCCCTCTTATGTATAAAACTTGTTTGTTTTACGACACATTATCAGACAGCTTGAGAGAATCGTGAAAAAAAACAGATTTACAAATGAAACATGAACCTTTGTGACCTTCTGCTGAGGATCTGAACTCTCTCTCTCTCTCTCTCTCTCTCTCTCTCTCTCTCTCTCTGAGTGAAGAACTTCTTTGTCTTTAACCCCAGGTGGTGCTGTGGTGTGAAAAATGAGTCCAGAAGCAACGGCCTTTAACTGACAGTCACACAGCCACACAGTATCATACTTATCCATACATTATACTCCTCAGTGTTAAAGTGAATGACATGTAGAGATTTAAGTGCTATAATTTAGACATTTTTATGAATGAACAAAACTAATTCAATTAAATTAGAAATTTTATTCCAACTAATTAGTTGAAACACCTCGTACTGTGTTCTCTCAGGAAATACTGTTTGTTTATTTTCTCACTTGGCTTCAGTGAGTGTGAGGACAGCGACAAGATAATGACAATAAAGTGTTTAAAGCTCCATGTTTCTTCTTCTTCTGTGTTTTATTTGAAGTGTTGATCCATCAGAAGATATAAAAACCATCTCAGTGTAGTTTCACATCTCCTCTCTCAGGCAGGTAGCAGATTTCAAGTAAAAACACTCAGAGAAACCAAATCCTGCAAGGTTTGGATGGTGGGTCCAGGTGGGCGGGGCTTGGTGACTGCTTTGTTGTGACATCACAAAGTTGCAGAAGTCCTGACGGCTGGTTTTAAGGCTCAGTTTCTGAATACAGGCTGTGTGCATTTCTCTGTGGACTGAGGCTTTGATACTTTCACAGTATTAATATAGAAGCTAGAGCTGATCTATAATCACACTACACATGGACACAGACCTTTACACTGGAGGAGCTTTAAGAAAGATGTAGAAACCTTTATCATGAATATTTAATAATAAAAAACTTCTTTTACTCTCAGTCAACTACCAAAGTTGTTGTGTTTTTTTTTAAAATAGCTAATAAATGAAGCATGTATTTTCCAAATGGGGGTTTTACGAGGCAGAATGCAAATCATCCAGCCACACAGATGAATCCCAGACCTGCTGATGTATTTTGTCAGTATTTTTCCGTGTAATAATGAGCAGATTAAATCAGGGTTGTGGCGGTGTCGGGGCTCCTGGGAGCCAACGAGGCCACGCTCCAGCGATTATTTCGAGTAGAGGCGCTCGCATGTATTCCCCCTGCGAAGCCCTGATTACTATCAGGTTACAGCGTCCATGACAACAGCCTGCAGCTTAAAGCAACAGGACTGAACTGAGGAGGGAGTTCAGCTCAGGAGATCAACCAAATTCTGTTTATTATAAAAGAAGAAGAATCCTGAAGACACGTGTTTACAGCCTGGTCACATCATTTATTAAGAGTGAACAGAACTGTTGGATTCAGAGGAGGAGAAATAAATCAGACACAAACCTACTTCTATTTTAGTTTTTTAACCACATGTTCACAAAACCTTCATCCTCGTCTTCTCTGGTAAAAGCGAAACAGACCTGAGCATGAAAGTTCATGTGTAACTTTTATAAACATATGTGTGATCAGCTTTTTTCTCCTTCAGGTGGGTCACACTTGGACACCAAAAAGCAACGCACCACCAGGAAGTAGGAAAGTGATGAAAAACACTTGACAGAGCATGAACTTTGCTTTTTGTTCCTCTCCAACCAGATGTGACACTTTAGGATTTTGACTGATAATTTGCTGATGTTGTTCCAGTGGATACCTGACACTGGCTGGAGGCATACTGTAAAAAAATTCTGATAACTGTTGAGATTGTTGCACTGTATTTTTCAGCCAGTAGGGGGCAGCACCGAGCACATTTTGCAGCCTGACTTAAAGGTGCCCTGTGGACTCTTCCTCTAAACAAAGTCCAGGTCTAGTAACCATCTTGAATGATTTTCATCCTCATAAAACATTAGGAAAGACAGTTTCTCTTTATTTATGTTTTCTGACTCGCACTCTTCTTCTTCTTCTTCTGCCTTTCTTGGTGCACTCTTGGCAGCGTCTGACTCCACCCCTAACTCCCAGCTAATTCAAAAATGGTCAAAGAGGAGGGGCATGTGCAGGGCCCAGACTCTGGTGCATACACTCACCCACGTGTCACTCAAAGAGGCCACGCCCTCAGATTTCCATAACTTTAGGCCTTAATAAAATGTAATCAGGTGAGTTATAGAAACAGATGCTGTGTTTTTCGGTGCTTTACCGCCACCTGCAGGTCAGTGAAGTGGTGCGACACCTTCGGCGGGAGTGTGTGTTGCACCAGCTGCGAGCAGGTGGGAGGACCTGGTTTAACTGTACTCAGTGACGTCACCATGGTTACAGTCACAGCAGAGCACATTTCTAACCCCGCCCACCTGTCACAGCTGCAGTGATGCTGTGGTCAGAGGTGAAACTGGAAACGCTCAGTGATTCTTTAAGAGTTTATCTGATGGTTTGAATTAAACATTAAACATTAAAGCTGCATTAGGTGGTTTTTTTTTACCAGCTGTGTCAGAATTTATACATTTATAATTGAAACCTGTTTTCCCTCCACCTCGTCAAAGAAGGAGTGTTTTTATTTCCATAATTAGTCAAGAAAAATTTAAATGAAACTGCTGCTTTGTTTTACCCCCACAGAGTAAAACAAACTTAGCAGCAGCAGGTTCAGTGCGAGTCCGACCCGTCATCATCATAACTGTGCTGTTAAACACAGAATGAAGACGTAACTCCTGCGTCTGTATCACTTTACGTGAACAATGACGTTGGGAGGATTCATTGTTTCAGTGAAGCTTCCCTTTAATGGGATTCGAGGATTTAATCAGTGTTTTTGGCAAATGTGTGTGTTTATGTGAGAGTGTGTGTGTCCTTGTGTGTGTGAACTAATTAGGACCAGCAATTACCCCAAACTGTGGCTGTGTCGACTGCTGAAGGGGGTGAACTCAGTTTTTTTTTTGTTTTTTTGTTTTTTTGGGGGGGGGGTGCAACAATAGCAGACTGTCAGTGCCAACGCTGCCATGCATAACAGATGCATGTGGACATGCCAGACAAAGGCACGGCTGGCCGAGCGTGTGTGTGTGTGTAAAGAGAGAGGGTCGCTGCTCGCTGTGGCTAGCATGATCGCGCCGCGGTCGCCACGATGCCGCGGGCGTGTACTCTGCTGTAAGTGGTAGTGTTGCAGGAATGGGGATCGGGGTCCACGCTATGTACTCGTCCGATGCAGTGGAAGTGGCAGGGAGTGCGTTTGCTGGCAGCTTAGCATCTGTTTCACCCCCGGGTCACTCACAGCTCCCAGCAGCCCCTTGCTTTGCCACATGGCACTCCCCTCCCTCCCACCCCCATCACCGCCCACCACCCCCCCTAAAAGCTGTCAGACTCCCAGAAGCCCCTGCTGCAGCCCCTTCAGTCCAGCCTGTTAATGGGGGGACGACTCTGTTCATTATAACATCATCTGCATAACAAGACTGTGATCAGTGATGATGCCACTGTAATACTGTATTAAAGGCCCAGCTTTCCTCTTTAAGGACAGGGGGCTTGTGGGTAACCTGTGTGTGATGTGGTCACTGAGGAATTCTGGGAAGCAGATCTCTCTACCGCATGCTGTAGTAAAACTTCATGCTACAGGTAGTCCGTAAGAAGTGAGATAAGATTAGCACAGCCGCTTAAAAGTGCTGAAAGGCTGTGAATGTGTTCACTGCCAACAACAGAATTAAGTTATTCCGAATGCTCCTTAAACGCCTCATCATTCCTCCGTTAGCTAGTTAGCAGCAACATTTTGAGCCAATAGCTAAACAATACTATACTATAATAAAACACACTTGTACCTGTTATCATGTGACCAGTTAGTTATGTGATTAGATCATGTGATGTCAACTGGCTGATGAAGACCACAAGATGCAGCTTAAAGCACCAGAAAAAACTTGTAAGTCAGACCTTGAGTTCAGTATTTTAGTAATTATAAAGCTAATAATACTTCCAATAATACTTCAAATACTGCTAGTAGTAACACTACTTGTACTCCTGACTCCTGCTGTAATGCTA